CCTGGTGCGTTCCAGCCTGGGTCTCTTGCGAAGATAGTTCCTTCTTGCGGAAGTTTTTTGTGAGAAGCAATCTGAAGGCGGTTTCACTCGCTAACACGTTTAGAGGCACCAGAATATCGTTATTTAATGGTACCAGAGAATTATTAAAACGATTAGTAGAAGAACTGCTTTTTTGCAGTATTTTATGTGCTTACACAAAACGTTCCAGTAAATAGTCTCACAGTGTAATGCTGCGGCACAGCGAACAGTTTGGGATGTTCAGAACCTAACAGCTTGCTTCTAAGCCTTGAAAGTAAAGGGAGTCTGCAGCCCTGTCACTGGGCAGTTACTCTGGATTTTGTTCAGCATGTTTATGTTAACACGTTATGAGCATTTATCATTTATCTTCCTCCTGTTTTCAGTGGTCCGTTAGTCAATATATTAGGGTCAACTGCCGTTCACGTAAAACCGCTCTCCACCTTCAGTCTTCAAAGATCCCACTGGAATATTGTTACTAGTACTAATATCTGCATACGGAATACTTCGAGCGCTTTCACCTCTCAAAGAAAGTGAGCACAAATTCTTCCTATCGGATTCAAAGTCGATGTTCTCTAATACTTTACTCCCGAGATGAATCACAGACACTCGGAAATAAACTACGTGACAGCGCTTTACCAACAGTAATCGCTGGCTAACCAAATCCTCAGTGGATTATAGAATGCTTCCAATCAGCCGAGCGAACTAGTAGCAATACGACGGACCGCTCAAATGGCAAAGAATTAACTGTGCTCATAAAGCAAATTTTTTGACTCACAAATAGAGAAGAAGCATTCCTCCGGCAGTCACAGCTGTTACTTTAGGGAAACTGCAGCTTTCAAATGATCATAAGTTTGTACAGGACTGATAGAATATATGCGAAACGGAGAAGCGAAGCGGCAAACGAATGCGGAAGAGGCAGTAGCAGCAGCAGCAGCAATAGCAATGGTGGAGAAGCCTGGGGAGCTATCCGAGACAGAAAACACAGGATGGCGATGTGAAGAGGCGTTCCACAATGGTGCACCGCTATTACAAATACTATTGCTTGCTGTACTACGAAGCCAGCTTATCATCATTTATGCAAAATTTCTCTCACATCCACTTTATGCAAATTTTATGACTGTGGCCCGTGGGAGAATGGAAGACACTTTGCAATCTCATAATTTGATTACGTGACTCGCGGCGGTGGTTACAAAACCAG